AAGAATGAAATAGACCAAGACGTTCTAGTATTTTCTCCCATATTAACAATGGCTAGGCCGGGCGCTATGGCTCATACCTGTAGTCCCAACACTTTGAGAGGCTGAGGCAGTCAGATCACCTGAGGTCAGGAAGTCAAGACCAGGCTGGCCAACATGGCGAACCCCCATCTCTACTAAAAATACAAAAATTAAAATTAGCCAGGCTTGGTGGTGGGTGCTTGTAATCCCAGCTACTTAGGAGGTTGAGGCAGGAGAATCGCTTGAACCCAGGAGGCGGAGGATGCAGTGACCCTAGATTGCACCATTGCACTCCAGCCTGGGCAACAAGAGTGAGACTCCATCTCAAAAAAAAAAAAAAATTAGTTGCACATGGTGGTGTGGGTGCCTGTAATCCCAACAACTTTGGAGGCTGACGCAGGAGAATCGCTTGAACCCAGGAGGCGGAGGTTGCAGTGAGCTGAGATTGCACCACTACGGTCCAGCCTGGGTGACAGAGTGAGACTCCGTCTCAAAAAATAAAAACCCTGGTCGGGCGCAGTGGCTCACGCCTGTATTCCCACCACTTTGGGAGGCCAAGGCAGGCAGATCACCTGAGGTCGGGAGTTTGAGACCAGGCTGATCAACATGGAGAAACCCCGTTTCTACTAAAAATACAAAATTAGCCAGCCGTGGTGGCGCATCCCTGTAATCCCAGCTACGCAGGAGGCTGAAGCAGGAGAATCAGTTGAACCCAGAGGTGGAGGTTGCGGGGAGTCAAGATCGTGCCATTGCACTCCAGCCTGGGCAACAAAGTGAAACTCCGTTTCAAACCAACTAACTAACTAACTAACTAACCAACCAACCAACCAACCAGGCCGGGCGCGGTGGCTCACGCCTGTAATCCTAGCACTTTGGGAGGCCGAGGTAGGTGGATTGTCTGAGCTTAGGAGTTTGAGACCAGCCTGGGCAACTAGTGGAACCCCATCTCTACCAAAATACAAAAAATTAGCCAGGCGTGGCAGTGTGCACCTGTAGTCCCAGCTACTCGGGAGGCTGAGGCAGGAGAATTGTTGAACCTGGGAGGCGAAGGTTGCAGTAAGCTGTGATCCTGCCAGTGCACTCCAGTCTGGGTGACAGAGCAAGACTCCATCTCTTAAAAAAAGAAGAAGTTGCTGGTGGAGTTACCCCATTTGAACAACTCTGGACTAGAAGATTGTGTAAAGTTTTTCAGAGTTTCTATAGCTAATTATTTTGTGCAAGAAGCAGATCTGACCACTCTCTTTTGTTTGAGACATTCAACTCAGCTGGCTTCTTCTGGGACACTGAATTTTCCTGATATGCTTGGGGTCTTTCTCCTTGGTGTCTGTGGTGGGCCCGCCCCACCTGGTGTGTCTGTCTTGGTGCTCCTGGCCTTCTGTAGCACTTTCTGTCTTTGTCCCTTGACATGTTCTACCAGGGCCATCATTTTATCTACCTCTCAGAAGCTGGCGACTTCTGGATCTAGGTCCCCAGCTCTGACACCCGTCTTGAGCTAAGACTTTTATGACTCCAACTGCTTACCAAAGTTGCACAGTCAAACTCTGTATGTCCCAGTCTCCACTTAACTTTCCTCTGGACCTGCTGCTGCTCCCATTTCCAGTTAATGACACTTTCATCACCCAGAATTGAAAGTCAGAAGCCTGTGAGTCTTCTCGCCTCCTTCTGCATTGTATCAGTCACCAACTGTATTCTTATTTTTAAATTTTTATTTATTTATTTGTTTGAGACAGAGTCTCGCTCTGTTGCCCAGGCTGGAGTGCAGTGGCGCGATCTCAGGTCACTGCAACCTCTGCCTGTGGGGCTCAAGCTGTTCTCCTGCCTCACCCTCCCAAGTAGCAGGGACTACAGGCATGTGCCACCACACCCAGCTAATTTTTGTATTTTTAGTAGAGATGGGGTTTTACCATGTTGTTCAGGCTGGTCTTGAACTCCTGACCTCAGGTGATCCACCCATCTCGGCCTCCCAAAGTGCTGGGATTACAGGCATGAGCCACTGCACCCAGCCAGTCAACAACTTTTTAAAAATACTTTAGCAAGGCACGGTGATACACACCTGTAATCCCAACTACTTGGGAGGCTGATGCGAGAGGATCACTTAAGAGGCCAGGAGTTCGAGACCACTCTGGGCAACACGGGGAGACCCTGTCTCTACAAAAAAAAACAAAAACCTGTTCAATTCACCCACTTGGATGTCTTCGAATTGCACTTTCTTTTCTCGCTCTAGAGTTTTGTGATAAACTTCCGTTCCTGCTCTGATTAAAAAAATTTGCCAGGTGTGGTGGTGCCTGCCTGGAGTACCAGCGACACAGGAGGCTGAGTTAGGAGGATTGCTTGAGCCCAGAAGTTCAAGGCTGCAGTGAGTTGTGATCACGCCATTGTCCTCCAGCCTGGGTGGCAGAGTGAGACCTTGTCTCAAAAACAACAACAATATGAAACTTCAGTCTGTCCCTCCTTATGATCACAGCCTTCTTTCTTTCTTTTTCCTGCTGTATGGAATAGCCTCCTAACTGGTGTGTCTATTCTGAACCATCTCCAGTCTGTCCATCACAGTGCAGCCAGAATAATTCATCTGAAATGCAAATCCAACCATCCTGTCCTTGCTGAAGCTTCCCGGCTAGCTCCCATCACCGGCTCCCTGTGACATGGCCCAGGGCCTCTTTCTCTAAACCCTCCCTGCTTTCTCCTTCAGCCTCCAATACTAATTGCATCCTTCATTTTCTCCCCAGTGTTTTTTATTTATTTATTTTTTATTTGAGATGGAGTCTTGTTCTGTCGCCAGGCTGGAGTGCAGTGGTGGGATCTCGGCTCACTGCAACCTCCGCCTCCCGAGTTCACACAATTCTCTTGCTTCAGCCTCCCTAGTAGCTGGGATTACAGGCATCTGCTACCGCGCCTGGCTAAGTTTTGTATTTTTAGTAGAGACAGGGTTTCACCATGTTGACCAGGCTCGTCTCGAACTCCTGACCTCAGATTCACCCGTCTTGGCCTCCCAAAGTGGGATTACAGGCATGAGCCACTGTGCCTGGCCAAAATTTACAACAAATCTTAGTGCAATTATACATCCATGTAGCATCAAGAGTCTCCTAGTTCCATAAGATTAGAGAAACAGCAGTTTCCTACCTGCATTTCTCCATCCCCATCAGCCACTTTCAGCTGTAGCTGATCCTTTCAGTGTTGCTGCTTTTTAATTTTAATTTTTTTTTTTTTTTTTTTTGAGACAGGGTCTGACTCCATCACCCAGGTCAGAGGGCAGTGACTCGATCTCAGCTCACTGCAACCTCTGCCTCCCAGGCTTAAGCGATCCTCCCACATCAGCCTCCTGAGAATCTGGGACTATAGCTGCTGAATTTACAGGTGTGAGCCACCACACCTGGCTGAGGGTGGGGGTGATTTTTAAGTGAACACATCATGTGTCAAAATTACATTTAATTTGTCACTTAGTAAGGAAACTAATATGATGTTATAACCAGTTTAAAGGAAAATTCAGGGAACACTCAAAAGTGAATTTACAGATAGATGTAGAGCTGGCCAGTATCCATAGGGCAGTGATCAGTACATTCCATGAGACTCATTAGTCTAATGAAACTAATCAGATTGTTTTCTTTGGACAGGAACTTGTTTGCCTTACTCTTAAGGTTTTTGGCAAATGACAGAGTTGTAAAGCAACTCAGAGACAATGAAGGTGCTGGTCCCGATAAAATTACATAACCTGAAGGATGCACTGGGTAGCATGCCCAATCATCGAATTTTTTTGTTTATTTCAAAGCCTTTCTGCAATTTTTTTTTTTCCTGAGATGGAGTCTCGCTATCTTGCCCAGGCTGGAGTGCAGTGGCATGATCTCAGCTCACTGCAACTTCCACCTCCTGGGTTCAAGCGATTTTCCCACCTCAGCCTCCTGACTAGCTGGGATTACAGACGCCTACCACCATACCCGGCTAATTTCACTTGGCCAACATGGTGAAACGTCATCTCTACTAAAAATACAAAAACCAAATTACCTGGGTGTGGTGGCAGGCACCTGTAATCCCAGCTACTCGAAAAGCTAAGGCAGGAGAATCACCCGAACCCGAGAGGTGGAGGTTGCAGTGAGCCGAAATCATGCCGTTGCACTCCAGCCTAGGCAACAAGAGCGAAACACGGTCTCAAAAAAAAAAAAAAAAAGAAAAACTCTATTATTTGCTAATTTGAGGGTGGGGAACTAAGCCCACAAAATGTTCTCTACCAGGCCGGGCGTGGTGGCTCACTCCTGTCATCTCCGTACTTTGGGAGGCCGAGGCGGGTGGATCATGAGGTCAGGAGATCAAGACCATCCCAGCTAACTTGGTGAAACCTCATCTCTACTAAAAATACAAAAAACTAGCGGGCGTGGTGGCATGCGCCTGTCACCCAGCGTGGGCGACAGAGCAAGACTCTGTCTCAAAAAAAAACCAAAAACCATAAATATGGCCAGGCGTGGTGGCTCACACCTATAATCCCAGCACTTTGGGATGCTGAGGCGGGTGGATCACTTGAGGTCAGGAGTTCAAAACCAGCTTTACCAATATGGTGAAACCCTATGGAGACTGTCCTAAAGATCTTAGTGTTTGTTAGGAAATATTTGATGGGTGTAGATGCTCTTAAGACCCATATGTCGGCTGGGCGCGGTGGCTCACGCCTGTAATCCCAGCACTTTGGGAGGCCGAGGCAGGCGGATCACCTGAGGTCAGGAGTTAGAGACCAACCTGACCAACATGGCGAAACCCCGTCTCTACTAAAAATACAAAAATCAGCTGGGCGTGGTGGCAAGCACCTGTAATCGCAGCTACTTGGGAGGCTGAGGCGAGAGAATCGCTTGAACCTGGAAGGTGGTGGTTGCAGTGAGCTGAGATCGTGCCACTGCACTCCAGCCTGGGTGACAGAGCGAGACTCCGTCTCAAAAAAAAAAAAAAAAAAAGACCCATATGTCTTCATTTTAGAACTTAAATTTGATTCCCTTTCCTAGGTTCATATTGAGATCCATTGAAGGCCCTCCCGGACTGACGAAGGCGTGACCTCAGGCCCACAGCATCCAAGAACACGAAGCATGAGGGACAGAAGGGGGTCCCTCGGCACCTGCCTGGCACAAGTGCAGCAGGCCGGAGGAGGTGACTCGAACAAACTGTCATACAGCCTTAAGAAAAGAATGCCGACGGAGGGCCTTTGGCCTGCAGATGCGCCCTCCCGGATGAATAAGCCTGTGGTTGATGGAAATTCACAGAGTGAGGCATTATCACTGGAAATGAGAAAGGATCCAAGCAGGGCTGGCCTCTGGCTTCACCGTGGTGGCCCAGTGCTTCCATATGTGAAAGAATCAGTAAGAAGAAATCCAGCCTCAGCAGCCACTCGGAGCACAGCCGTGGGTTTGCTCCCTGCTCCAACAGAGTGTTTTGCTCAGGTGGCCTGCAGTGGTGTTGAAGCTCTGGAGCGGGACTGGCTCGGAGGAGGGCCCAGGGCCACCGACGGCCACAGAGGACAGTGCCCCAAAGGAGAGCCTCGGGTGTCACGACTGCTACGCCCTCAAAAACTGCCGGAAATGGGAAGTTTTCAGGATGACCCACCAAGTGCTCTTCCCGAGGGTCTGGGCTCTGAGTTGGAACCCTCTTGCCTGCACTCCGTCCTGTCTGCAACACTGCACGCGTGTCCCGAAGTGCTCCTGAGTGATGAGACAAAACGAGTTTTCCTTGACCGTTTAAAGCCCATGTTTTCAAAGCAAACGATGGAATTCAAGAAAATGCTTAAAAACACCTCGGATGGTCTGCAGATAACACTGGGGTTACTGGCTCTGCAACCTTTTGAATTAGCAAATTCATTATGCCATAGTTAAGGTACAAGCAGAACAATACAAATAGATTAATTTTAAGAGTTGTCTTAGAATGATTTCTTTCGCAGTAAGTCTGGATGCAAACTGTGCAGCCCTTAGGTTCCTGCTGTAGTTTGTACGACCCGGCAGACTTAAAATAAATTGAGTTTAAATTCAAAGCCGGTTGGTGCGGAAGGACATTTTTTAGCATGTGTTAAATTGTGCTTTAAAAGACTTATAAAGAGTTGGGAAACATTTCAGGAGATGATCATAGCCTATGTAAGTATCAGATTAGAACCTACGGATTTACCATGAAGTTCTGTCTTCAACACCCATTCTAAAGGGCTACTGTCCCAAATCCTGTGTGTCCCTTCGGCTTGTCGATCGCCCAATGGAAATGGATACTCGTAAAGTCTACACCGCTGTACTTGGCGTTAAATCTTGTTGAATTCGTGATAAGCTGTTATCATTTCTACATTTTGTAGAATGATTTTGGTCTGCAGCAACATTCGATCTCACTTCTCACACCCCTTTCCTTCCACTTGAAATGCAATGTAGACAGAGGCCCTGTGGTGAAAGTTGCAATATTAAGTTTACCTTTAGAAGATCCCTTCTCAAACTCAGAACCCTGGCAGTGTTACCTTAAACAAGAATGAGCTCGGGAAAAAAGTAACTCAGTTACAGAGAAGCAAATCGAGTTATTTCCCTCATAAAAAGTTTCCCAGATTCTAGGAATTGCAGTATCTTGTAACCTAAAAATTTTCCAGTTGACTCCTTTTGTTGTCTGTTGATGACTTTAATAAAGGTCATTTAAGGGCGTAAGTTTTTAAAGACTCGCAAAGTGAGACTTAACCATTTTCGGGATTATTGATTGCATATACCAGTTTATGTTGTGTGCTGAATTACTATGCCATGTGCTATTTTAGTGTTTGGGGAAAATGAAAAATAAAATTTGTTCTTTAGCTTAATAAATATGTCTTATTTTATATGTGTGGTCTTGGTTCTTCTTGTGTTTTTATTAATGCCGTTTTCGTCTTGATAGTTTTTATTATTTGAGACAGGGTCTTGCTCTGGCACCTAGGCTGGAGTGCAGTGGTGTGATCATAGCTTACTATAACCTTGAACTCCTGGGCTCCAGTGATCCTCCACCTCAGCCACCTAAGCTGCTAGGACTACAGTTCATGCCACTGTGGACTTTTTTTTTTTTTTTTTTTTTTTTTTGAGACGGAGTCTTGCTCTGTCGCCCAGGCTGGAGTGCAGTGGGTGCGATCTTGGCTCACTGCAAGCTCCGCCCCCCGGGTTCATGCCATTCCCCTGCCTCAGCCTCCCAAGTAGCTGGGACTACAGACGCTCCCCACCACACTGGCTAATTTTTTGTATTTTTTAGTAGAGACGTGGTTTCACCATGTCAACCAGGATTTTCTCAATCTCCTGACTTCGTGATCTGCCCACCACGGCCTCCCAAAGTGTGGGGATTACCGGCATGAGCCACTGCGCCCCGCCTTTTTTTTTTTTTGAGACGGAGTTTCACTCTGGTTGCCCAGGCTGGAGTGAAATGGCATGATCTCAGCTCACTACAACCTCCGCCTGCTGGGTTCAAGTGACTCTCCTGCCTCAGCCTCCCGAGTAGCTGGGAGTACAGGTGCCTGCCACCATGCCCGGCTAATTTTTGTGTTTTCAGTAGAGATGGGGTTTCACCATGTTGGTCTGGCTGATCTCGAACTCCTGACGTCAGGTGATCCACCTGCCTAGGCCTCCCAAAGTGCTGGGGTTACAGGTATGAGCCACTGCATCCAACCCCCTAACACTATTTTTTTTTTTTTAAACATCAAGGTAGGTTGCCAATGCACAAGATTAGAAGCAGAGTTTGAAAAACAAAATATAAAGCTAGACGGGAACTCAACTGTCACTCTGCTCCCAGGAAACAATGAAGTCGTGCCTTGTGAACCTTTCGGTTGGTGCTCAGAGTCCCAAAGAAAAAGTCCTTACGAGACAAACCATCTCTTTCTAATCTAAGTGGCACTGCCTTGGTGAGGCAATTAAAACCCTGCTGAACAGCCATGCCCTTTTGGTGTCACTGTGATCGATTGCAAAGTGAGATGAGGACACTTTTAAGTGTTTTAAAATAGAGAATGTTTTCTTGTCAAGTCCTCCTTTTACTTCCCTTTTTTTGAGACAGTCTCGCTCTATTGCCCAGGCTGGAGTGCAGTGGCGCAATCTCTGCTCACTGCAAGCTCCACCTCCCGGGTTCATGCCATTCTCCTGCCTCAGCCTCCCGAGTAGCTGGGACTAAAGGCGACTGCCACCACACCTGGCTAATTTTTTTTTGTATCGTTAGTAGAGATAGGGTTTCACCGTGTTAGCCAGGATGGTCTCAATCTCCTGACCTCGTGATCCGCCCGCATCAGCCTCCCAAAGTGCTGGGATTACAGCCATGAGCCACTGCCCCTGGCCGCTTTTTTTTTGTTTTTTTTTTGAGACGAAGTTTTGCTCTTGTTTCCCAGGCTGCAGTGCAATGATGCTCGGCTTACTGCAACCTCTGCCTCCCAGGTTCAAGCGATTCTCCTGCCTCAGCCTCCCAAGCAGCTGGGATTACAGGCATGCACCACCATGCCTGGCTAATTTTGTATTTTTAGTGGAGACGGGGTTTCTCCATGTCGACCAGGTTGTTCTCGAACTCTCTACCTCAGGTGATCTGCCTACCTTGGCCTCCCAAAGTGCTGGGATTACAGGCATGAGCCACCTCGCCCGGCCTGCCTTTTTTTAAAAAATGAAGTTTACTCCTTGGGGATTAAACTTTCCATGACCCACCAACTGTTTTATTTCCTTTGTTTTGTAGGTTGCAAGTATATATATATTCAGCCAATTGCAAAAAGTACAGAATTCCCTATTAAGCATCCAGTGATACATTAATAATTTTTTTATAGTTGTTTTTTTTTTTTTTTTTTTTTTTTTGGAGAGACAAGGTCTCACTATGTTGCTTAGGCTGGTCTTGATTCCTGGCCTCAAGCAATCCTCCTGCCTCAGCCCCTAAAGTGCTAAGATTACAGGCATGAGCTGACGTGCTTTCATATTGTGATGTTAAAATACGGTGTGCATGCCAGGGGTGGTGGCTCACACCTGTAGTCCCAGCACTTTAGGAGGTTGAGGTGGGTGGATCACCTGAGGTTGGGAGTTCGAGACCAGCCTGACCAACATGGCGAAACCGTGTCTCTAATAAAAATACAAAAATTAGCCGGGGCACAGTGGTGGGCGCCCGTAATTCCAGCTACTTGGGAGGCTGAGGCAAGAGAATCACTTGAACCCAGGAGGCAGAAGTTGCAGTGAGCCGAGATCGTGCCATTGCTCTCCAGCCTGGGCAACGAGAGCGAAACTCTGTCTCAAAAATGAAACAAAACGAAACAAAAAAATCCTGCACTTTACATGCATTTTTCTTTTTCTTTGTTTTCTTTCTTTCTTTCTTTTTTTTTTTTTTGAGACAGAATCTTGCTCTGTTGCCCAGGCTGGAGGGCACACATGGTATGATCTTGGCTCACTGCAGCCTCTGCCTTTTGGGTTCAAGCAATTATCCTGCCTCAGCCTCCCAAGTAGCTGGGATTACAGGTGTACGCCACCACTCTCAGCTAATTTTTGTATTTTTAGTAGAGATGGGGTTTCACCATGTTGGCCAGGATGGTCTCGATCTCTTGACCTTGTGATCTGCCCACCTCGGCCTCCCAAAATGCTGCGATTATAGGCATGAGCCACCGTGCCTGGCTGAAAAAAATTGTAATACATTTACCTGAACAGTATGTACAAAGTCAGAGATGGAAACTGCCAGTGAGTGGTAGAAGTTCTGAAACACACCCTGTTCAATGGATAATATATTCAACATAAAAACTCAAAATGAGAAGCCTAAGTAAGATTTCATTCTTATTAAATGAGTTTCATGGCTGCTCCTACTTGGCTCTCCTTTGTTTCCAGAATGTTCTCTCTCTTTTCTCCAAACATTCTATGTTTATCGAAACTTGATGGCTGGGCTTGGTGGCTCATGCCTGTAATCCCAGGACTTTGGGAGAGGAGGACTGCTTGAGTCCAGGAGTTGGAGACCAGCCTGGATAACATAGCGAGAACCCCACTTCTACAAAAAATTTAAAAATTAGCTGGGCATGGTGGCGCATGTCAACCGTCCTGGCTACACAGACAGCTGAGGCAGGAGGATCTCTTGAGCCCAGGAGCTTGAGGCTGCAGTGAGCTATGATCACACCACTGCACTCCAGCCTGGGTGACAGAGACTCAGTCTCAGGAAACTAAAAAATAATAAAAAATAAAAATCCTTCATTAATCAGATATATTTAAAAAACATCTGACGGCTGGGTGCAGTGGTGCATGCCGGTAATCCCAGGACTTTGGGAGGCCGAGATGGGTGGATCACCTGAAGTCAGGAGTTTGAGACCAGTGATACCCCGTCTCTACTAAAAATGCAAAATTAGCCAGGTGTGGTGGTGCACACCTGTAATCCCAGCCACTCGGGAGGCTGAGGCATGAGAATTGCTTGAACTGAGGAGGCAGAGGTTGCAGTGAGCTGAGATTGGGCCATTGCACCCCAACCTGGGCAACAAAAGTGAAACTCGGGACCAGGCACGGTGGCTCACGCCTGTAATCCCAGCATTTTGGGAGGCCAAGGCGAGTGGATCACCTGAGGTCAGGGATTCGAGACCAGCCCGACCAACATGGTGAAACCCCATCTCTACTAAAAATACAAAAATTAGCTGGGCATGGTGGCGCATGACTGTAATCCTCGTTACTCAGGAGGCTGAGGCAGGAGAATCGCTTGAACTTGCGAGGTGGAGGTTGCAGTGAGCCGAGATCGCGCCAT